ATAACTAAAAGCAACAAAAATTGACTATTAATGCATTTAAAAAAAAACGGGAGGCAGTCGTCACTAAGTGTGCAGATATGATATGCAAATTCATTGAGTAGTTTGAGTTGGAAAACGGGGAACAAATTGTAATTAGTCTATATATTAAGCTATATATATATATAACTAAAAGCAACAAAAATTGACTATTAATGCATTTAAAAAAAATCGGGAGGCAGTCGTCATTAAGTGTGCAGATATGCAAATTCATTGAGTAGTTTGAGTTGGAAAACGGGGAACAAATTGTAATTAGTCTATATATTAAGCTATATATATAACTAAAAGCATAAAAAATTGACTATTAATGTATTTAAAACTTTCTTTAAAACAAAATTCTGGGGGCAGTTGCCACTAAGTGTGCAGACATAAATAAAATTTTTTGGGTCTACCACTGCTTGACACTGCCCAATGTGCATTGAATACATAACAATCCACCTTTGATCTTGGTGGAGGCACACCTCAACCTCTAGGACGAGGTTGTTTTGAAGGACGATGGAATAGCAGTCAAGATTCATTACTATTGCCTTATAGTTTTTTTTTGTAGATAAAAGTTTAAGCGGGTTACCACTAGGGTCAGGAAAGACCCCCAACCTCTTTGAGGATTTTTGAAAGGAATTATATATCACCCATAAATAAAGTGAACACATCAGTTTTTTTATTAGTTTAGTTTATTTTTATCTGGATTGTTTAAATTATCTCCTAAGTAGTTATTTTATGAAAATTAGGATTTTCTTACCTTTTGTTAAACTTGTAATTCTATAAATTATTAGTTTATTGATCATATATATAAAAAATTTAATGATTCAAGTATCTCTCCTAATGTCTTAATACCTCCTTTAATTCCCTCCTACCAATCTCTCTATCTCCTAAGTCCTCTCTATCTTTCTAATTTCATTTCTAACAATATAACTTTCAAAATTTGATGAATTGTTTATTTAAGAGCTCAAAAGTTAAAGTTATTTTATATTTAGATATAATATTTGAAAAAAAAAAAGTTAAAAAATTATTTTAATGTTAAAAAAATTATGTAAAATTATTAAAAGGACTCCTAAAACTATTTGTTTAATATAGTAATTTGATGCAAAACATTATCAAAATCAGATTATTGGATACTATAATAATTTTAAGAAGAACGAGTTAAATTAAACCCAAGTAAAATTAGTTATAACATCAATTTATTAAGAAGGGGGACAGTTGAGTTGCTATCATAAACCAAAGTCATAAAATTATACTCGTTTTTGAATCATTCAACACATGAATTCGTCTGCATGTCAATCCCGATTATTTAAATATTTGATTATATAGTTATATATAATTAGATAACACAATAATTATGATCATACAATATGTGTAAACATGCAAACTGAATGAATATATAAGTGCATCAGTATCATGTAAATTGAATGAATACAGTTTTATATAAGTATGTAAATTGTTCATATTTTTTTCATATATTTTCTTGGGTTAGGATATTTTGACTACCAATTTTTTCTACTACCACTCTAATCACCATTGGATTAGAGAAAAAGTTGAATGAAGAGAGAGAAAAAAATAACTTTTAATCCAATGGTGATTAAAGTTGTAGTGGAGTGGTAGTAGAAAAAATTAGTAGTCAAAATATCCTACCTCTATCTTCTTTTGTTCATCCTCTTAATTGGTAAAATTAATGCATTTGATGTACAATAGATATACACTATGATAGATAAGTTATCTTAGTCCGTGTTAGAGGTGAATCAAATAGAAATAAGATATAATATAAATAAATAAAAATATTATTTAAAAAATTTATATAATTTTTTAAACTAATTTTAAAAACTATCATTTACAATAGATTAAAAAAAGTAACAAATATATTTAAACATGAAAGAAATTATCTCTCAAGTTTAATAAGTCCTAAACCACATAATTTATTCTCCAATGGAAGATCTTGCCAGATGAATTCCTTGATCCAATTTAAAAGGGTCTTGTGCTTCTTAATGCGTGTAAATGCAAATCAAATCTTCAATCCTAAAAGAAAAAGAAAAAGAAGTTATGCAACTTTCTTGCAACAAGATAATCTCATGTAGGATTTCAACTAGCTAAGAAAATCATCAGTTCTTGTGAAACTCAGCACAGAAACTAAAGCTTGAAAACCTTTTTTTTTTTTTTTGGACATTAAAGCTTGAAAACCTAGTTTCACTTGCATAAAACATATCTATCTCTAGTATTCTTGATTGAAACTGCTGGCTAAAGACTTGTATTGATTTGGTGGTTACTGATTTGTACATGGGAAATCATAATAATTATGGGGTTCATTTTGCTGCACACAAATGCCTTGAAATCACTATAATGTATCTGATATATGTTCAAGTTTGTGTTATTATATATGAAAAAGTAAGTCATAAATAAGAGTCTAAGAAAAAATAAATTCTAGTTATAAATGAACATAGAATAATTTTAGTAAAATGATAGGGACGAAAATCAAAATTTCATCTTTTGATATTTAATTTTTAAAATGACACGGTTCAAATATAAAATATTATTATCAGCAGAAACTGATCTTATTTTACGCTATGAAGCACCGACACTTCAAAAACTCTGACGTGTCGTGTCCGACACTTCCCGACACTCTTCGACACTCCGACACTCTAACACGCGTTGTAGAGACTCAAAAATAGGTTCAAAAGTTGCGTTGTGTTGCATTTTTAGTTCCAACTATTGGATTCGTTGGATTACTATTACCATTTTATTGAATTTAATATAAATATCTGGAATATCTTATGTTTCTTTGTAAAATTGATAGGTATTATAAGTTTAACTTCATTTTTTTGTTAAATTATTGAATATTAAATATAATATACATTACATAAATTAAAAATAATATTTAATATCAAAAGGTGTCCTAACGTGTCGAAATCTAACATTTTTTAGAATTAACGTGTCGGAATGTCGTATCATATCGTGTCTCATGTCCCGTGTCGATATCAGTGTTACATAGATTTTACGCGTGTCATGTGAGCAAGGACCCATTGTTGGGCCAATAGGTTCAAGACCTGTTACTTTTGATAGAAGCTAGGTTTCAGAATGTTATTCCACATGGTAAGATATTACTAGGTATTGATTATGCAGCAGAATAGTAGGAAAACAAAATTTAGAGATCACACATTTTGAAATAACTGCATATTTATTGTATGAAATAACTTAACTGGTCATGAAACAAGTAAATAAGGAAAGAGATCTCCTTTAATTGAAAACACTTTTGAAAACCGGGGGTGGCAAAATGGTAACCGGACTTGTCTTAAAACAATTTAATTCTTCCTGTCCCGCTTTTAAAAGTAGGTTGAAAATTTCAACCTACCCCAACCATCTCTAATCTGCCCTGCCAAAATATTAAAAAAGTAAATTTTTGTTAAAATTTATATTCTCCCATAAATATAAAAGGTATCAAATGAAGATAAAAGCGATAAAAAAAATCATTAATTAATACTTTTTATAGAAAATTTAAAAATAAAAAAAATTATGAGTAAAGTCACTTTTAGTCCCTAACAAAAAATACGTTCTCTACTTTTATCCCTTATTAAAAAAAAGGTCAACTTTTGATTCCTCTACAATTCCAGTTTTTAAAAAATGTGATCCCTCAGAAATTCAATGAAGACCTAATTTAGTTCCTACAAAAAGACTAATATGAATTTTTTTGTAAGAAACGAAAATGAGAATAGTATTTTTTATTAGGGACCCAAGAAAAACTTTACTAAAAAATTAACTGAGTGTATCCACCCATCCCACCGTGGGTTAAATTTGTTTTGATCCACCCTGGGTTGAAAATCCCAACCCAATAGACTCATTTTGCTACCTATGTTGAAAAGCAATATTAATAAATGAATTTGGTTTTATGCAATGCAATTAATTAAGGGCAAATATTCTCATTCAACAGGTTTTATGCAATGCAATTAATTAAGGGCAAATATTCTCATTCAACAGGAAATTTAATCTCTCGTGATGTAGACATAGATTTTTGAAGTAGGTCCCGTCACTTAGTAAAACAAAAAGAAAAAATATGTTATCACGATTTCTTATGTACGTGGAAAAAAAAATTCTCTGGTGGCTGAAGAAAATATAATATGTAATTAATGGAAATTTTTTTCTCATTTTATAGGACATAAAAGTATTTCTTCTTCTACTAAAGAAAGAGTTTTCTGCCACTAACAGTATATTTCCAAAAATACATAAACAAATAGCTTTTTTTTTTTTTTTTTTTATAACACAAATAGCTTTTTTTTACTTGCATTGTAGGTTCCACTCTTTTTAAAAAGAAATGTCTATGCGATAGACATTACTTCTTTGCCACAGCCGCAAAAAAAGTAATGCCATTTACAAGAAACAAAAAGTTATTTTCTATATAAATAGAAAGTGATTGTTTTTCTACAGTTACTACAGATAAGTTATCTACAATAAGCTTGGTACAACATCATTTTTGAGTAAAAATTATAGTGTTTTTATAATTTTAATTTAGTTCAGGGTTATTATAGTCTTTATAATTATAATTATTTAATTTTTCAATCCCAAAACAACAAAAAGCAGATTAGGATTTGAACTCATTCTTAAATAGAATAAGAAATAAAATTCAAATACTAAATAAAAAATGAAAGATTATATATGTATGATGTTGGAATTTTGGTAGAGAAGAGATATAAGGTGAGAGAAGAGGTGTGAAGAGTGGTAAGAGTGGAAGGGAAATATATAGGGTGCACAATGTGACGCCCAAAAAAAACGTCACATTGTACTGTAGATCCGTAATTATTCTTAAAACTGTAATAAATGCATAATTATTTTATTGAAAAACATTAAATTAATTTTTTTTCATTGATTGCACAACCAAAAAACCTCGCGCTTTCACTTTCCATTGTGGAAATGTCCAACATGCCCTTTACATAAAAAACCGATATTTAGAAAAACAGTGTTGAGACTTGAGATGCATATGGAGAAAGAGAGGGTTTGAGAGAGATGGGGAGGAGGATATTGAATGATGCGCTGAGGACTATGGTGAATGCAGAGAGGAGAGGGAAAGCTACGGTGGAGCTCAACCCAATCTCCACTGTCATCTCTTCCTTTCTCAACATCATGAAACACCGTGGTATTCTATTATTACTAATCCTCCTTTCATTTCATTTACCCTCTCCTCTCTCTTAAATTTTTATTCTTTTTCCTCGAATTTGGAACCCCTTTAACTGCTACGGGAGGAAGGACAACAATGAAATCAAATGAATCGCCTTTGTAATTGTCAAAATATAAAACAAAATTGGGGGTGATTATTTTATTTTCCCTAGTCTCTTCAAGTACTGTGCCGTTTTGTGATTGTGTAGTGCCAATGTCAATATTTGAGTTTTCCACTCTGAAATTTTTGTATCCCATAATACATTGCCTCTCTCTGTTGGGTTTGTGTGTTTGGAGGGCTTCCATTACTGATATTCTGGTTATTGTTCCCAAGAGTTTTCATTTGCTGGAGTTTTCTGTATGTGAAATGTCTCTTATGATAATTGGTGCTAATTCTGTGTAACTTATGATAGGCTATATCAAGGACTTTCAAGTCTATGATCCACATAGAGTGGGGAGGATAACAGTACAACTACAAGGTAGGATTAACGATTGCAAGGCCCTTACTTACCGACAAGACCTCAAGGCAAGGGATGTTGAAGCCTTCAGATTGCGCACTCTTCCAACACATCAGGTTGCTTAGTGCTTAGTGTTTTCAGTTCATATTCAGTTATATCCCCGTTTCATTAGTTGCTTTTGAATGTGGATAATGTTGTTGTATCCGACGCTAGTTGTTATACTTTTGAGTTTCAACAAAGAAAAAGAAAAAAAGAAAGAAATGGAAAAGGATAATCATGCCATTCTTTTTCTCTCTTTGCAGTGGGGTTATGTTGTGATTACTACTCCTGATGGTGTTTTGGATCATGAAGAGGCCATTAGAAAGAATGTAGGTGGCCAGGTTCTTGGTTACTTTCACTGAAAATAATCATTGTCATGTTAGTTTGACCAGCTATTGTGTTCAACTATATTTCCTGATAAACATTGAATGAATTCGATGACGGAATGTTTTTTTTCGGCAATGGGGTTTTTGCTTTCTATTATTGCATTGTCATGTATGAATTTTACTGCAGTTCATGCGTGATGAGTGGGATGGATTGGATTTTGTGCTTTGTTGAAATTATTACTGTTTTTGTTAAATAATAGACTAGACATGAATGGATATTATATCACCTTCATTTGTAGTTTTCTTCAAATTCAGAGTTGCATTTATGTAGTCCTTAGTTAATTTTCCATAGAATTGTAGTCTTGGAGGAGAAGAAGAATGCTTCCTTCTAGACGATAGTTAATGTTGACATTTAGTCTCCAACCCTGTCACAGTGGATATTTATAATACCTAAAAATTTAAAGACCAATTATTTTTGCTAGGTTTTTTCAGCCCTTGTAACTAACTAAACATGTTGAAAAAGACATGTACAACCGTATTTGCCATCCAATTTATGGTAAAATAAGAAATAGCTCAGCTATGTAGAAGATTTGTGGTTCTGATTTCTAAAGATTCAGGAGCATTAATAATGAAGATAAAGCAGTCTGCATCAGTACCCGGCTGGGTTCAACTTGCATGACAGTTTATGGAAAGAATCTATTCTACTCAATTTGCCTTCCCACGGAAACTTGTATGATGTATGACAGTTCACGATATGAAAGAATCCACTGTGACTTCTGCCATGGTTCTTGTTTACTTTGAATTGAGCCACTACAATTATCTATTCATGGTTAATGTTAATGGGTTGTAATTTGTAAAACATGTATAAATTTTCTATTTTACCATTCAGCTAGTGTTATCTGGGCATTTTGAATGGTAAATTTCTTCTATCCTTGCATATATATAATAGCATTATTATCTACCAAAATTTGCTGTTGGTTGTTGGGTTATGTGGACGACTGAACAACTTTTGTTTGAACTTGAGCACCGTCAATGGACATCCACTTCTCAATACATTTAGAGGCTGGTCCAGAATGAGTGGGTCATCCTGATCCATGTTACCTTGGTTGGTGCATATTGAACGACCATGGATCATTGAGTTCAATGGCTATGCTGCCTACCACAGATTGGGCCATGAATATGTCGGGGAAGCTGTGTGTAGCTTCGGGGAGGGACTTGCAATTATCTGGGATCATTGCTTTCACCTTGTGTATGTAGGATTCGACACTTTAGAGTCATTTGACTTTGATTCAACATGCATTCCACATAAAGCGTTTCCATTTTGTAATGTATATTTCCTAGGGCAATCGCAGTGTTAATTTCTTGGCTAGGATGGGTTTCTAGTTCTCAGCCCAGCTTTACTTCATATCACAAACTCCTTATTCATGGTTTAATTTGAATTATGCTTTAATTTGATTGTCTGTGATGATGCTAATCACATTCCTCTACTGCTCGGATTCGGATACTTGTGTTTCTTTTATTTCAAATATACGGCGTAACTCCAAATAACATTGCTCTACAACTAAATTAATTTCTGCTCTGCCAACCACATGCGAGATCAGCTCTACTTTATTCACCGGAAATTACATTGAAACATACATTTCATTCATTACAGGCACAACATTTTATTTTATTGTACGTAGTGAATAATGGTACTTCCACAGTAAAGTCACACCATTTTCCCTACATTGCCGGAGGCAAATTAAATTTTGTTCTCAACCATTATACAACACAGGAAAATGAGGATCAGTGAGCACGCCTGCAGATAGTGAACCCATCACCTATTGAAGCAAGGGAAATTTCAACGCGAGAATCGTTTGCAATTGCTTTGTTGAATGATTTTAGCATTCAGCAACTTCAAGAGCAAGTCCATTGGCCGGCCCGCATCAGGTGCTGTAGTAAATATTTTTTTTATTAGTAATAATATTAATTTATATCAAATTTATATATGTATAATATAATACAGAAGAAAAAGTTAAGATGTAATGTGCAGGTATTCAATATTATTTTCGCTCATGGTTTCAATCTGATTACCATTACTGCTTATATCCCTGAAGCTTAGTAAATTTCTCCTTTTCTACTAGAGTATAGAGCATCGTAGTGTATAGTCAAGGTTAGCAAGGTTTTAATCAGGCATATTTTCATAGTGTATAGTCATCCAATAAATAACGTTGTAAAATATACATGTGTGTGGATGACCATCAATGGTTACACATTAATGAGCTATTACATTAATGCATCGTACATATTGAAGTGTAATCCCTCTCTCATTTACGTTTAGAGTTCTATATAAGGATGTGCCTTCCACAAATAGTGAACAATAAAAATGGGTGATTTTCTTTCGTTTTTCAAAGGTTCATGCTTTAGAAACGGAGACATATTATTTATAGGGTTTTACTTCTCTTATGTTATAGAAGATAAGTTATCTTAAAATAAAAAATAGTAAGGTCAATCAAATTTTTTTTAAAAAAAAAAATGATACATATTTTATGTGAATATAACATGAAAGATGAAACTCATGTAACATGAGAGTATTATTTTTCTTATTTATAATTCTTAAAGAAGAAAACCAAACGCTGATGACTCCATCCACCGAGTCTATTATTTAACATGAGACATGTATTAGTTAATGCACTCTCAATCATGATAATGATTTGTGAATTGAACAAGCACAATTTCCAGAACCAACATCGTTTGCAATGCACAGAGGCTGAAACCGTCCATCCCTAAACCAAATGGATCGTTTTTGAATAAATTCTATAACAAAGGAGTCCAGGGTTTCAATGGTAATATGTTGCATCACCACCACATGTGCAATATTTCCATTGCACGCCAAATTCCAGCTACGCGTAAAGTCATCATCTAGAGGCCTTTCAAACACAACTATATTACTAAACTCATTCAACATTGCACCAATGCCAGCATCACGTAGTTGATCCAGTAAGTGGCGTGCATTCATGATGCACATTTGCACATCTTTCTTGAGTCCTATTAAACCTCTTTCTTGAAGAGCATACCAGAAGAAGATTGGAGCATGCCCGCTACGACTGCCTGTGATTGTTACATCCCTTGAAGCAATGATTTCAACATCACTAGATAGGGCGTTGACGTGCTCTAAACGAGTAATTACAACACCACAAGGAATTGGGCACCCCAAGAACTTATGGCCAGAAATAGATATACTTCCAATGGGTTTCTTGAAGTTAATCCTCGGGGCCTGTGCAATCACACACAAACAATAATATTGTAGATGAAATTATAATTAAGTAGGATCGAATCAGCTGAATAATATGAAGTTTTATATATAGATGGAGAAAAAATAAGTATTGTACTAAAACCTTTACTTTAATAATACTCAATTAACAACCTCAACTTGAAACTTATCAATTAAGGATTTTAATTTTAATTTTAATTTTTTATATAAATTTATCAATCCAAAAAGAGAGGGAATTTTGGCTATGTCAAGTTATTTTAAACAAAGTTAAGTATCTTAATTGACAATAATAAAAAATCATCAAAAATTAACTCATCATAAAAAATATTTTTTTTTCGAACTTTTAATTGATTTAGCATAAAATGATATAGGTTTTCAAATAATCCTTTGCTGAACCTAAATGCATATAAATATATATGTCTACACACACACACATGTCCCTCCGAGTGAGCCTACAATTCATTATTCGTGAAACTAAATATTGTCTCTTTTTTCTATCATTAATCATGTCTTCCAAATTAATCCCAAGTAAAAATAAATTATGTACAATAGCTTTTCTTTAAGTTGGTTAGTTATTAGTTTGTAATTGGAAGGATGAGGTTGGAGGAAAAAAGAAAAAAGAGGACAATGAAGATTTAAATTGGTGTCAACTCGGATGCTCTGGTCTCCACAACATCTCTTATATCTAAGCACAGTACTGTCAAAGTAATGCTTTTATTTAATTAATAATGTTTATGCAAACAACTTTCACATACCCGTTCCATAAAAGGCAACATCATTCCAAATAGAGCTCCATCGCAGTGAATATAGAATCGATCACGAGTGAAAGCACATTTCTCAAGTGTTTGTATTACTAGATCAAGGTCATCAACACCTCCTTTCATAGTTGTCCCTGCAACAGGAATCCTTAGTAGAGTTTCGCCAAATTTATATATACATTATGTACAAAAGTGCGTTCATAAGCTTGTTAACTGTGATGTGTTTAGTTGTTAAATTAAGACAAGAGGGAAACCTATGTTTAGATTGATGATGGCTGGCTTGTCCTTGTGAGCAAGTAGTGAAGCCTCTAATTCAGCACAATCAATCTCACCGGAAACTAATGTGCCAACCTTCACACACTGCATTCGGTACATTCTTGCTATTTTGAAAATTGAATAATGTGAATCTTGTGAGGTATATAGAATACCATCCAGAAATCGTTCTCTCCTACATAAATTGATAAAATCAATGTCTTGTGTATTATAGGATACATTTCTGAAATATATACCAAAAGGTTCTAGAGATTAGCAAGTTACAACAAAACTGACCCTACTAAAATCCCGTGAAGATTGCCTTCAGTTCCACCAGTTGTGACGTATCCCCAGTACTCATCCTTCTCTATCTCCCAAAGGTTTGCAAACCAATCAAGAACGCAAACTTCAAATGCTGTTGAATTCAGAGAGAAACTGCTCCCTAGAAAAGGGTCACCAGCATTGTTGAGGTGAAAATGAAGCAACGGTGCTAATGCATCATAGTTGAAATTCTGATTAGTTGGGTAGCCTGCAGTTGTGCGTGGAAGTCATTAATTAGAGTGTAGTCTCGTAAGTAAGTAATATATATAGCATTATAGATAGAGAGAGAGAGACAAAGTAAAAGCACCAAAATATTACGTACCCAAGTTGCGCAAATTGTACTGATTTAGAGTCTCCACGTAGCGAGTAATTACTCCAGCCAAATTGGCTTTTGTCTCCCCACTGCATTTGGTGATAGCAAGGTTCATATCTCCATGATTCTCTTGATCAATGTCTATGTGCTTGTCTTCTTCTGTAGTGAGCTTTGCATCATGAGATGCTGTAATGAAAGCCATTGCCATGTTATTGCCCTCTGGATTCTCCATTTTATTCATGTAACGTGTGTACGAGAGAAATGCATATATTGTTTTGGACTTGAAATGTTACTCACGTATTTTAAGAATAGGAATTAAAGACGTATAGGTTGAGAGAAGACTCGAGCGTCTTGTTCCCCCCAATTTTAATACAATTTAATTTCTACATGCATTGTCCTTTTCTCTATCTTTTTTTTTTTTTTGAGTTACCCAACCCTAATTATCTCTTTGAGGCGAGTTGGCTCCCTTCGGTATCTCCACGAGCTTCGACTCTTTGAGCCGGCTATGTGACTAATCCGGAGTGCGGGGATCAGTGATGACTAAAGGTTCAGCCCCCTCCCCAAGAATGCATTCAGCAGGAATCGAACACATGTCCAACCCCACTAACTCAGCACAAGTTATCAACTGAGCTGCACCCATTGGGTCTTTTCTCTATCTTCTTTTTCAATACCTGTCCTTTATTAATTCCAAAAAAATTTGGAAAGTTT